CTGGTGGCTGCTGCAGCCGTCAATTCTGCCCTTGCTTTTGGACAAGGGCTGGCAGCGGGGATGCCAGGTAGGGGCTCCAAGGGAGCTGCAACTTCTCCAGTGCCCAGGGAGATCTAAGAAAATTATATCTTGTGTCTCTGCATGGCGTCACGTTTGCCTAGTGTTCAGCAGTATTTTGGTTTTATTGTTTTTCGGTTTTAATCCATGGGTATAGAAGGTGTTTTTGAGAGGCTGTTAAATGTGAACCTACCTATGCAGCATTTAAGTTTAATCAGGGTTTAGGTCCCCGTGTCACAGATGAAAACAAATGTTACCAGCTCTATTGCTGTACATTGCACTGGTTGGTTGCGTACTCAAAAAAAAATGATGGCTCCTATTGGAAGTTGCTTTCAGATTTTTCTGTGGCTCATGTTAGCTTATGTGATCTTTATTTTAAAACCCCAGGGATATCTTAGTCCCATTCATTAGCCTTGTCTCTCCGTCCCTGCCAGGTGCTTGACTTTAACAGCATAAGGACTTCCCCTTCATAATTTCTTCCAGGCAAATACTAGTGGCTTAAAAACAAGAAAAGAAAATGGATAAAGGGGAGCAGGGGTTTATTGTCATTAATAATTCTGCAAGAGAAGGGCTACTGTATGAATTTTACCTCTGATCCCTGAGGCTGTGTGGTACAAATGCTTTTGACATTCAGTTATACAGAATATTATTGTAATGGCAAAGGGCAAACGTAAGTATTTTTTTTAATAATGTGGAAGTATGTCCTGCTGGTCAAATGTAAGAGAACAGGATTATTTTGGCCTCAGGTCCCCTCACGGGAAGTGTCACATGGTTGTTACACAGGGGTTTTTTATAGCTTAAGAAGCATGTTGCTGTATTAAGTTACAGAGTGAACTGTAACATGCATGTTTCCAAGTGATCTGCAGATTTCCATTATTGGGTTTTGGGGGGGGTTATATTTGCAAAGCAAATATTCATGGAGAACATTCTCCTTGTGACCCCACCATGGGGTCACTTCACTTTTTTCCTGAAAGTTTTATTTAACTGTAGAATTAGATAGCAAGGTACCTCAATAGCTATATACTACTGAAAATGTGTCGCTTTGTGTAGCACCAGCGTATTTGATTTAAGAGGATTTATTTATATGTACTAAAGAATGCTTTATGATACATACCTTTGAAAATGTGTACGTTCCATGTCTTGTTCGCATATGTGTGCACACTGAACAGCTTCATCATATGGTGGGAGAGTTGGAAGTGCGGTGTGTTCACATATATGAAAAGTCCCTGCACGCATCATACTAAAAAAAGAAAAGGAACAGTGCTTTTATATTTCAAGACCTTTTTTTACCCATATGACTGAATTAACACAGAGGGCTAGTATAGTAAGTTAGAAGAAAAAAAAAAACCCAGGCTTCTCTACCTGAAAGCCTTACTAGTGTAAAGTCATAGACTGTTAATATAGGGGGAGGGGTTGGGGGGGAGGGTTTTTTGGGGAGGGTGAGGGTGGTGGTTGGTTGGTTGGTTTGTTTTTATTGAGGAGAAGCAGAGCTGTTGTTGCTTTTTCTTTTGCCGTTCAGATTTTCCTTTAAAAATCCTATTGCACCATACTCATCTGAAGACGACTGATCTGCCGTGTGTTGCGCTGCTTGTTACCTTATCCGTGCCCCTGTAATTTGCCTCTTCAGGTTACCCAGTGCTGGCTCCTGCTGCTTACTACGACCAAACAGGTGCTCTCGTGGTGAATGCAGGGGCCAGGAACGGCCTGGGGGCCCCTGTCCGTCTGGTAGCCCCCGCTCCGGTCATCATCAGCTCCTCCGCAGCGCAAGCAGGTGAGTCCCAGTCCCTTCAACTGAAAATCTGCTCCGTCCCTGGTGGAGGGCGGACCTGAAATCCTCTGGGCTCTGCTGGCAAGGATGATGCACTTGCCCTCACTGAGATCCATTGCGGGGATTGTTGAGAACGTCCTCTGTGCGCACTGTGGTCTGAGCCTCCAGAACAGCCTCAGAGAGGTAACGTCACATAAATGCTGTGATTTTGCACAGTTTCATGACGATTACTTAAATTTGTCTGCTGGCATCTAGTTTCCCATGTAATAAAAGGTTTTTGCCAGTGTAGAACTCCTAGATGATCACCTTGCGTAAATGCCTGGCCTTTGCCATGATTTTTGGGGGGTGTTATTAGGGTTCTTTGGGAGTTCAAGGCTTTAAAAAGAATTTTTCAGCCAGAATTTATGTGTGTAAGCAGTCTTGGCCAGTGTTAGTAACAGATTATGAAACGGGCCTTTTAATTGTTTCCTTGTAGTTCTTGTTTATTTTGCTTTTTCTTTTACTTTGGAACTGGCTGAGAAAGAAAAACACTTGGTTTTGATGTTCTTAGCACCGCGGGATTGCATTTCATGTGCTAAAGGACAATTTTGCTTATTTCAAAACTTGTGTTTCTTAATTGGATGTAGTTGAGTGTGTGGCTGTATTGATTTGAATCTTAGATCTTGGGAGAAAGGGAACATTTTTGTGTGTTTGATCTATGTAGCTCTAATAATGTAAACAGCAGTAATAATAACTTGGCGCTGGTATTCAGTGGCGCTCTTCAAGACTTGTGCAGCTCAGATAGAACGTAAGGAGACTTTATGCAGAGTTTGAGAAAGGGAGATTTTCATCTTGAGGGGAAAGAAGAAAAAATCTATAGTAAATAAAAGGGACCTGCTAAATTTTAACTTCCAAAACTGCTACGAAAATGGATTTTTCAGTCTATGTTTCCAATTACTTTCTCTCTAGCGGTTGCAGCGGCTGCAGCTTCGGCCAACGGTGCAGCGGGTGGCCTGGCAGGAACGACAAACGGACCATTTCGCCCTCTAGGAACTCAGCAGCCCCAACCCCAGCCCCAGCAGCAGCCCACCAACAACCTGGCATCCAGCTCGTTTTATGGCAACAACTCTCTCAGCAGCAATTCCCAGAGCAGCTCGCTCTTTTCTCAGGGCTCTGCCCAGCCTGCCAATAATTCCCTGGGATTTGGAAGCAGCAGCTCTCTCGGTGCCACGCTGGGGTCTGCGCTGGGAGGATTTGGGACAGCAGGTAAGAACTTCATGGGGAAAAAAGGAGAGAAGCAGATGGCTCCAAATGCAGCTGGTGGGCTGGTGAGCTGCTGGAGCTGGCACTGGTGCACCGAGCTGCTGAGCCCTCCTCTTCATCTGTCTGGGGTCAAATGGAAATTGTCCTTCAGGGACTAGTTTGGCTTTCAAAATTTGCAGCGCTTTCTGGTGAAAATTCTTTTAGTAGATGATGTATTAGAAGTAACAAAGTAATGAACTTGTTTTTGTATACACATTGTCGGTCATCCCCGTTTGCTACAGATTGAGTTTTTAAACAGCTTTGCATTTCCTTGCCTTTACCTGCACATGCTTGGTGGAGATACTGGACTAACAGGGATTGGCTTCAAAGTGGTATCCATCCATGTGTGAACTCTAACTCTTACCTCAGAATAATGGCTAAGTAACTTCTCGTGATTTTTAGAAGAGCTGATCTGAGGTGGTTTCCATGCTTTATTCTGAGAAGTGTTTCTATCATACACTAAAGAAAGTCACTTAATGTGGTTGCAAGAAGTATTACATGCATGGTTTGTTTTGATTTCTTTGTTAAGCAGTTAGAGACAAAGATTTTTTTCAGAATAAAACCTAACCAGAAAGAAGTCTGTGGGTTGGGTTTTTTTTTCCTTAGGTTTGTTTTTTTGAAGTAGAACAATTGTTTTAATTACTGCTCAGTCTCAGAGGTAGTAATTACGTCCTGAACTTTCCTGCTTTCATCAGTGTGAAGGGCAAGTTAAAACATGCCTTTTGAGCCTGCTCCATCAGAAAAGACCGAGGAACATACTGTCACTGCATCAAATCACAGTTTTAAATAAAAGTTACTCTAAATATTTTTCTTAAATCCAGCCTGAGAGTTTGAACCATCTTGGATTCAGGGAAAAACACAGCATTTGCTTCTTTCACTTCAGTTTGTTTAACTAATTGAATTCAATTACTAGTTTACTCAATGCCAAGATGCACAAACTTGTTTTCCCTCAATCAAAACATGAGGATGTTGCTTCTAGAACTTGTGTGCAGTCATGAAAAATGATTAGTTCATAACAGTTAACAATTTCACTATTTATTAAACAAGATTTTTAATGCAAAATTGATTTTTTTTTTTCCCCCCCCTCACATTGACAGTGCATTTAAAGAGCTTGTATTTGACTGTCAAGACAACTCTTCAAAAAATAGTTTGGTTTATGTGTTAAATTGAATTCTGATTTCCATCTCAATAAAGCTTGGTGCAAACAGGAGCTGTTTTCTAATATAATGAAAGGTGAGCACAAGGATTTCAAGTAAATGTACATGAAGCTGTACATGCTCTTAAGTAAACATGAAGAGAGAAAATCTCATGTTGGATTTGTTTTAGCTCTAATGGCCAGAGAATAAATACAAGGCAGTGCTTGTAGGGCGATCTAATATCTTCTGTTAAACTAAGTTATAGGCTTATGGGAAAAGAGCTTTGAAGTATACAAACCTCCTTCTGAAGGCTCAGAAGCAAAGTGTTAGGTTTTTGTGTCCAAAAGCCAACATGGTTGCTGTAGTTTCATTCTGCCACTTCCTTCAGGTAGATTTTTATCTTCTTGATCTTTCTGCTTGTTGATTTTTGGAGCTGTATTTCTTTGTGTTCCATCGGAATCAAACCTACAAAACTATAAATGCAAAGCCAGGATTCAGGCTAATTTTTTTATTTTTTTTTTTAAATCAAGGATTTCTGCTTGATCATTAACAATGTGGTTTTAATGCCTTTCATTTGGGCACATGCAACACCCTTAGGAAAGCAACAGCCTGGTGCAATGAAGTTGTTAATAGGAGCCGTTGTACTGGCTCTCCAGCTACCCACTTGTCTCGGGCAGCTTGTTGACATCATGCATTTTTACTCTTCCTCTTTTCAGTTGCTAACTCCAACACGGGCAGTGGCTCCCGCCGAGACTCCCTTACAGGGAGCAGTGACCTGTACAAGAGGACATCCAGCAGTTTGACACCTATAGGACACAGTTTTTATAATGGCCTTGGGTTTTCCTCCTCTCCTGGACCTGTGGGAATGCCTCTGCCCAGCCAAGGACCTGGCCACTCTCAGACTCCACCACCTTCCTTATCTTCACATGGATCATCTTCAAGTTTAAACCTGGGTAAGAGCCACAATGCAACCGTCCCAGCACTGGAGGTTACTGCTCTGCTCTCCCTTGGGGCAGAGGTGCGAATGTCCCGCTGCTGGGTGGGAGAGATACCCGCTGCCTAGTTCCTGCTCTTATTCCTGTGGCAGGGTCCCTGCTTTTGCAGAAGGAGTAGGTGAAACACTGAAGCAGGAGTTACAGCACCCCTGCTACGTGTTGCTCTCTTGCAGTAGTTCAGCTGTTAACCAGGAAGGTTTCCATATTACCTCCTTGTTTCCTCATCTCTAAGTTATGGATAACATTTCCAAGTGTTGGAAGAACAAACCTTTTTTTCTTGCGCAGATATCAGTAACAGCACCAATTGTTTGTTATCCTTAAATAAAATAGATCTGTAGGGCTGATCCTTAAACTTGTCAAATGTTTTAAAATACCCATTAAGTTTTAAATAATAAATTAATGAGCTTAGAATACAGTTTCTTCTTTTAACCAAAATATGCAACGTTATCTGGAGCAGTACTTAGCTTTTAGCTGAGGATTTTGTGAGTTTGCTTTTGAAAATGTCCCATCAATGTAGCCTTATCAAAAGCACATAAGTTGCATGGGAGAGGCTTTCTTAATTTTGGTGAGATACATTACTTTATGCAAGCTGCATCTTCTGGAAGAGCTTCTAGTTGGCCCAGAGCTCTTACAATATAATAAAGCAAATCTTTAAAATAAATAAAGCAAATCTTAAATAATAAAGCAATGCTCATCTGAACTTCCTGAAGTGTTCATTTCCAGGCCTCATAAACAAGGTGGGTTATTTGTTGCATCTGCGCCAGATAATTTAGTACTTGCTCAAAAAAAAAAAAATCACTTGGTTTTAGTTACATTGCGTATCTGTCTGGATTTACAAAACTTCTGGTTATCAGAAGAATTTTCCATGCGTATACACACTTATCAAATACTATATTTATCATGTTCATTGCATACATGTGTGATAAATTTGATGCATGGAATAGTAATAAATATGATTTTTCAAGATCAGGTTTAGATTTACCATCTTTCCTTGTTCAGAGCTTTAATAGAATTGGAAGGGGGTTTAGCTTTATTTATGCAGCTGTACAGTCCTTAAGCTGACAGTTAAATAGCTACAATAAATTAATGCTGAAGACTAACCAGATTCCAAATCTGGCACTAGAAAAAGCCTGTTGCCCCTGCAGCTGAACAAAAGAATGAATCTTAAAAACTGGATCAGGGAAAGGTTCATCTGCTCAAGAACAAACTCTGGAACAAAAGCATAGTTACCGTTCACAGAAGGGGGTTGTGCCCCAGAGTAGTTCGCTTGGGTCTTCCCAGCTTGACAAAGTATTCCTCTCCTTGTCGCCAGGTTTCCTCCGTTGCTGACTTAGTGCTTGGTAATGCTGCTGCAAGAAAAATCTCATATAGAATAGCTCTGCATTTGTGTGGTTTTCACCTTGAAATCTGTAAAAGATCATTTTATTTTTTTAAGTTTCTCTTTCACCTTTAAGGGAAGACAGTGTTAAATGTAGCTGTAGTTTCCTTTAGCTATAAAATAGGCTTTAATGCTATAAAAACGGCACAGGCATTGTTTTTCCTTCTAAGAAGCTTGAGGCTGACCCGTTTTCAATTTGGGAGTGATATCAGAAGTAGTTTATGATAAAAAGGACAAGGAGTATTTCTAAATATTTAAAAAATGAAATGACAGATGGGAACACCCAAATGTGGTGTTTGCAAAAAGGGAAATTAGAGCAGTCGTGTTTAGAACCACATCCTACCACTGTGTTACGTGGGGGGAGACAACCTGGGGGGGTGACTTCAAGTAACTTTGATAGCAGGGTTACGCAACGACATAAGAAGTTGGCACTAAATCTGACTTGCAGTCAGCAAATCTACGGTTAAATGCGGTGTAAGCTGTGGGTTTGACTTCGTCACATCTCATGGATGCACGAGTGGATCGTTTGTTGGGTTGGTGGTGTGTGTAAAGATTCAGCTCTGGCTCTTCTGGCTTTCTGAAAGCTCATAGCTATGAAAAATGGTGTGTATTTATCAAGCTAGGGTTTTTTTCTGGTGCTGTAAAGTGACCTTGTGAAATGTCTGGGCAATCATGAGTACCTGAAATAACCATGCAGCCAGTTCTTACGAGAAGAACCACTGGAGGAGGAAGGCTGAGCTAAATACATCCTTTAAACTCAACGGTGTATGCAACATATCCAGCTGTGCATAGCTAGGATAAAGCCACTGTAAACAAATATGTATTGCAGCAGGGGCCCTCTTCCTCCCCAGCATTGATAAAAATTAGAGAATTATAAACTACTAAATACATTTTCTTTACGTTGTAAAATTTAATTTTGGCCAAGTTATGCTTCACATTAGTTCATGTAGACCCACAAACAGTCTTTGTCGGCCCTTGTGTGTCTAGCTGGCATGGTCCCAGTAGAAACGCTTGCCACGCTGCAGCCTGGGGCTGAATGTGTCCAACGCTGGGTTTTCCCAGTTTGGAATGGGGATCAGGATATGCAGCGGAGAAGTAATTATTTGAATTTTATTATTTTCTTGCAGGAGCTTCTTGGGAGAGAGCTGCCCGGTACTGTAGTCAGCCTGTAATTTAAAAGGCGGGATCGGTGTGAGGAAGCTGATACACGCATGTCGGAATTTAATTTAGTGGGGGGTCTTTGGGAAAACGGGCTGGGGAGTTGATAACCAGGGAGCTGTGACCGACTGGGAGGGCTGTGGGGCTGCGTCTCCTGTGGTGGCTGGTGGCACACCCTGACACTGGACTGCACAAGGTGACAGGTTGGGGCAGTGACACAGGGGGTGTTGTGGAGGCTGCTGGCCCCTGCCCAGCCCTGGGGAGGCAGGCTGGGGTCCCCTTGGCTGGGCAGGCACTGCCTGGCGCCTCTGCACCGAGCCCTCCAGCAGGGAGAGCAGCAGGGACATCTTCTCCCCCTGCTTTCTCACAGAGACATCTTTTCATCTTCCTTTTTTTCCTGTTGTTCTGGCATTTCTCATACCAGGAACTCCTGCCTTGCAGAGCAATTTGAGGGCCTTACAAAAGTCCCCTGGAAGCTTGCTTAAGAAGTGCTTTGTTTTCAGACAGCAGCCTTCGCATTTTTTCCCCTGTGTTTTCTTTTTGACTCATCCTTTCATTGTCCTTTTCTTTCCCTGAAATCAGTAATTCTTTCAGGTTAACGTCTGTCTCAAGTGTCCCAGCAAGCACTGAGAACATGACTTACCATTTCAAAATAGGAAATGCTCAGTTGTTACGGCTGTGGCGTGAGTCTGAGTAACGCATCAGCCTTGGAGTCCCCTGGATAGAGTCTGTGCACTTTGTCCTCCCCAGATACAGATTTTTCCTGACACATCCCAGACACTTTTAAGAAAATACGGTCGATATGTTCAGAGACAGAACCACACGACAGCTGTCCCTTCTATACAACCTCTGTGTAGTGCCTACAGCACCGGTTTACTGCTGTACGTGGGTGCTGAGTGCTTTGCGCGAGCAGCGTGGTGTTAGCATGATAGGATGTCTCTATGCGGTTTGCAGAACCCCTTTTGAGGTTTGTTGTGGCTGAGGACGCAGGAGAAACGATCAGCGCCAAGATCTTACAGGAGTCCTGTCCCTTCTTTGGGGTTTTTGCCCCTTTATTCTACCCTAGTGTCCCTAAGAGCTTTGGGAGCTCCCAGCCTCAGTGTACTGCTCTTGAGCAAGGAGCTGTTTCATTGTAGTTACTGGTAAGGTCCCACTGAAGTCCGGGATCTGGCAAAGTCACTGTATTCCCAGCCACAGATTGGCAGAAAGGAGCTTGAGGCGCTCAAAGGCTTCTGGCCTTTGGTGGTTTGACAGGTGGGTTTAAAAATCCTCACTTGGTTTAGGAAACCTGTCCCCCACGTGGTCTCTTAATTGACGTTATGATGTTGAACATTGTGGGGAGACCTGCAGTCAGCATCTCCATCAGAAGAGAGAGTTGGGTAGAAAACTAGAGTCATTCATCCTTTATTTTCAGTCTCCAAAAACATCAGAAGGTTTTTCTCAGAAAAGCTCTGACAGAGAAGAGTTTGTCTGTACAAACTGTGCTTTCCCTCTTAACTAAGAGATAAGGCATAGGCGATAACCGTGTAAGTGCCATTTGCAGACGATCAGGAACTAGTTTTCCACTTCAGCGCATTAATGCTATGACTCTTACTTGCTCCAGGCTTTCAAAAAACAAGTGGTAATTCTGAGCTCTTCGAATGCCATGGAAAATGGCATCAGTACGCCATTGCTTAGCTTGTTGCTGTTGGGGTTCCTTTACCTGAGAGGTGATTTACTGTTCCTTTGAATATCCTGATTCTTCCAGCAGTAAGGAGTATCACTTGGTCACTTTTCTGAGTTCCTGCTCAATTATGAAGTCAGGTAGACAGAGAAGATGATGGCCACACCATTGGCAAGGTAGCATAAGAAAGAGATGTGAACGAGGAGCTCTCAACCCTCCTTCTCCTCGCCTCGAGGTTTGGCACCAGCTCTGGAGAAGCAGAACACGTTTGCCCAGCTCAGAGACAGGGGAACTTAATTAGGCTGTTATCAGATACTTAATTCATGTGTAGTGTTTCCTGCACAGGAGCTTCCTTCAGGCATTGATGGCAGAGGAGTGCAATTCACTCAGCTTTTTTTTTTTTTTTTTTTTTTTTAATTTTATTTCATATTTTTTTCAGACACTGTCATGCAGAGCTGCCAGAAGGTCTGTTCTCTTTGCAGACAGCACTACTGATGCTTGCCTTGAAGATCTTCCCTCCTTTGCAAAGACTTCTTGTAGCTTTTTTTTTCCCCCAGGTGGTTTGCCCTCCCTGCCTCCCGATGGCCTTTCAGGTGGCAGGTTCCCATGTGATAAGAACATTTTTCTTGGGAGGACTTTGTCCCACCCAGGAAAAACTGTACTTGCTTGAGGCATCTTGCGGTTTTGACCAGCAGAGGGATCCCGAGCCCTGCAAGAAAGGTTTAAGTTGGTTCCTATCAATGCTTGCAGTTTGCTAACTGTATGATGAAGTGTTACCTATCGCCCATACCGGGTAACTCAGCAGCTGTATTAACGTGGATGAAAATGTTAGGGCATTTGTGAAAGCTGAGGACTTTTTTAAGTGTTTAGTTTGTTATTTACCTGTATTTAATAGTGATTGGTTTTTTATATCCATAAGTTTTGTACTTGCTTCTTGCTGCCTTTTTCTTACCTAATTTTGTCTTAATTCTGTCCCCACCCTCAGTATGCTTCTTTTAAATCAATCCTTTGCACGGCAGCAGGATAGGTGGAAAAAAAACGGAGGATGGAGGATAAGGTAATTAGAAACAGCAAGTTAGCAAGTGGCGGAATTGACAACTTGTCTGTTTTAGACAGTTTCGACACAGAGTGGGGAACAGAAGTTGTTACAGTCTGTTCTTTGAATCTGTAGCTGATCCTAACAATGCAACGGTGCCACGCTAAGCAACTACACTTGAACACGTCCCCATCGAAATTATTTTGGGGGCAGTTCACTTAGCTTAGTTGAGAATACTTCCTAGTTGAACCCATGTCAGAAACCCATCTTGGTGGAAAAGGACTAATTGCAAGTAAAATGGTGTGCACAGGTTGTAAATTAATCCCTCGGCCACTTTATTTCATCTTGTGAAATAGAAATACCCTTGTTTTTATGACTCGCAGGAGGGCTCACAAATGGGAGTGGCCGTTACATCTCTGCTGCTCCTGGGCGCTATGGGATGTCTGATGTTATGCCCTCTGGCCGAAGCAGGCTGCTTGAAGACTTTCGCAATAACCGGTACCCTAATTTACAGCTGAGGGAGATTGCTGGTCACATCATGGAGTTCTCCCAAGATCAGCATGGATCCAGGTGGGATTAAAAACCTTGCGCTATGGGAAGCTTTTGGGACAGCTGCTCTTTGAGTTAGCGTCATTTGCAATTTGCAGCGCATCCTGAAGCAAAGAGGCAGAACAGGGAAAAGGAGGTGTGAAAAGCCAAGTAGCGTAACAGTCTGACCCTTCTTTTTAAAAGATTGTTTGGGTACAAATGCTGATCGCAAGAGTCCACTCTCTAACGAGGAGCTTGCCTGCTTTGTAATTTGCTTGCTAGTCCTGCTGGCACAGCTTAACTCATTTTAAAGAGCCGCCTGGATGTGAAACCTTGCTGTATTTTTCTGTTGAGCTCTGCTTCGCTTGGAATGAGGAGATTTTTGGGGTACTGACAATGACGACCACCTGAGGTTTCAGATAGCTGGATAGGGCAACTGTGTTTAAAAGATTTGTGTTTTGCAAGAGTTCAGTGTATGAAGCTTTTGAATGGGTTTGTATTAACAAATGTGTCGCGGGCATATATGCCAGTGGCATCACACCAGCCCTATTTTTCAGGTTTATTCAGCTGAAACTGGAGCGTGCTACCCCAGCAGAACGTCAGCTTGTGTTCAACGAGATCCTCCAGGCAGCTTATCAGTTGATGGTCGATGTATTTGGAAATTATGTCATCCAGAAGTTCTTTGAAGTAAGTCTGCATTCCCCTGCAAGTCTTAGTCAGATGCCTGCTGTGCTGAGGTATTGGATGAGCTCGTAGAAACCCTGCTATTGGGCTAAAGTGATGGATAACTGTCAACACTGGTGTCATCTCCTCCCCACAGGCTGCTGCATCATTCCTGTTGGGGTGTCTGAGGTGTGGGACTCATAAAGATTCATCTGAAAAGTAATGCTTTCCTTTGCCAAAGGTGTAGGAATAAATAGCAACATATCCAGGAGATGTAGGTCTAGCAAGATTTTTTTGAGGATGCTGTGTTGAGCTGTCAGAACTCACAAATTTAGGAACAAAAGAAACTTTTCCAGTGAACAGCTTCCACTGGAAGAAAGTGTTGTGTTTTCATACCAGGAAGTTGGACAGGTGCCCATCTCTCCTTCTTGAAACTGGTCCGTTCTTTCTCCACCAAGCCTTTGGTGGTTCTTTTATCCAGTAATTTTATAGCAACCCTGTCAAGGGTTAGTGAACTGGCGTGTGTCACCCTGGTGGTTCCGGCACCTTTGACTCTGGAGTTTGTTTCGCATGAGTCAGGCATGTCTGACAGACACAGAGCAGACGTCTGGCTTGTGCCTGCTCGCATCCATTGAGGTGTCGTTGGTATTTTCTTTCTTTTCAGTAGGCACAGTGTTTCTTGTTTTAACGCTTCAGCGTGACAGCGTGGGATGGCTGCTGTGCCGCTCGGCCATGTGAAGGTTTTGTGCTTGTAGTGATTGGTTTTCCTCTTCCAGTTTGGCAGCCTGGAACAGAAGTTAGCCTTGGCAGAACGTATCCGTGGGCATGTTCTGTCCCTGGCCCTGCAGATGTACGGCTGTAGGGTGATCCAGAAGGCCCTCGAGTTTATTCCCCCAGACCAGCAGGTAATTGTAAGTTTCAATTTTAACTTTCTTCTTGATGTTTAACGTTCCTTGCCGTTTGGTGACCTGAACTGCGACCTTCTGTTCCTCTTGTGGCTGGTGTTCTTTTGGTTTGGTTTATGGCATGTTTGTTATGTTTTATGTGCATGATAAGTTTGTGACACTGTTCTTGGGTCTCATTGTTATCTCCTTGTTCCGCTTAACTGGTTATGGTGTTGGTTCTCTGTTAATTCCCTGAAATCAGATTACATATGCAGGGAAAACTGAGAACGATAGTGAATTAGGAGATACTTCTAAATGCCTTAAAGGAAGCAGTGCCAGAGTTTTGCCTTTAGCATTCAATAAGATATCACGGCTTTGATATGTGGGTCAATATTCTGCTTTCCTGCAGAGAGATGTACGAGGACCTCCTAGTTCCTGTTGAGCCAGGCCTGGCGTTGGAGAGATGTGGATGATAGCCAGTCCCACTCAGAGCTCATTAATAAAGGAATTCCTCTAGGGTTTTATGAACAATGAATTAAAATGAAAAATATGCTAGGCAAGCTAGCTAATAAAGGTGTTAGGAATCGTGATATAAGAATCTCAGTGTAGTGTATTAAATTAAAAAACTGAATTGGGCTTTAGGAATGCACATTCCCTTTAGGTCAAGCCTAGGCTAAGCTGCTGACACACTTCTCAGCAGGGTGATGGATGGTGGCCCAAACTCTGGCACTTCTGGTCCAAGGATTTACTAATTATTTCCTTCCAGAATGGTATTTTTGAGTACACTGTACTCCTGAAATGCCTGGTTTTGTATCAGTTGCAAAACTGAACTTGTCCAATTTTGTAGTGTCATGAAATTCCCAAAACCTGTCATTCTGTTTGTCAATCTTTCAGCCTGCATGTGTGTTACTTTAGTCGTATCTCAACCTTACTTCTTGGTTTCCTTAATTACCATACAATATTACCTTACCTGTGTAAAATACTAGCAAGTTCTTATCCTGGTGCTGACCCCATTCTAGTGACCCATGAAGCTGATACCTGAAAAGTTTATGAAGTTCAGGCATTTCAGGTTTCTTTTGGGGGAGCAGAGGAGGGAATGGGGGATGCACAGTAAAGTTGTGTATCAGTAACATTTCTTAAATTTGGATATGTAACTTGTGAGAGGACACTCGTGTTTGATGAAATGAGTGCTTCATATTGTAATAGTATTTTTCTCGGTGGTTTCTGTAGCACAACGGGCTTCATCTCGGCACTTGGCCACTGGAACACTTCCAGTCTGAAATTCATCGGTGCATCCTTCATACCTTTCATATTCTTCACCACGTTTAGCAGTGAAAAGTTTTGCATTTATCAGCCGTGAATCCTGGTGGTGCTTTCTGTTTGTCTTTTTCTCCTCCTAATAGAATGAGATGGTACGGGAGTTGGATGGCCATGTCCTGAAGTGTGTGAAAGACCAGAACGGTAATCATGTGGTGCAGAAGTGTATTGAGTGTGTGCAGCCTCAGTCCCTGCAGTTTATCATTGATGCGTTTAAGGGGCAGGTAAGTTCTTAACCAAGATACTGACTCTCATTCTTTGTATTCTTTTATGTTGCTTTGAATAACGTGATATAGTGGCTGTAACTTGTTCAAATATTTTGAATTTTAAATTTTAGCAAGCATCAGTTGAAAGCATTAGGGAGCTTAGAAACTCTCTGTTCGTGTCTCTGTTACCATTTTTGTGCAGGTATATCACAGTAAAGCATCTTCACAGACAACTGTTTTCCTGGAATATCAAGTATTTTTTGACTGATGGAGGGGAAAACAAGTCTCTCATTAATCCATCTTCTTAGTAAAGGTGGCAAGCAGAGTTTTCTGATGGGTATAGTGAACTTCCATTACGATCCTCTGTGAGGATGGCTTAGGGGACTGCTGTTTCCATACATACAAATATCTCAAGAGTGGACTTCATGAGGACGGAGCCAGACTCTTCTCAGAGGTGTTCAGCGACAGGACAAGGGGCAGTGGGCACAAACTGAAACATAAGAGGTTTCAGTTGAATATGAGGAAGAACTTTACTTTGAGGGTGACTGAGCCCTGGAACAGGCTGCCCAGGGGGGCTGTGGAGTCTCCTTCTCTGGAGATGTTCAACCCCTGCCTGGACACTGTCCTGTGCCCCCTGCTCTGGGTGAGCCTGCTTGAGCAGGGGGGTTGGACTGGGTGATGTCCCGAGGTCCCTTCCAACCCTTGCCATTCTGTGATTCCCAAGGGTCTTGGACCAGGGGAAGAACATGTGTTTCATCTAGAAAAGGTCAGTTACTTGTGCTTCATTCTCCCAGTTTTTTTCTTGGTATCCTTTACTGAATTGATGTCCTGGATATTAATTGTGTAACTGGCTTTATTCTGCCTGTAGTCAGCTTGTCTTCCATTACAAAAGTGCTGGTTTGGGCGTTTCCCGCTTCAACTTAATTGGCTTTGGAGGGGGGACTTTGAAGTACTGAGGGTTTTGCCACAGGGATGTGAGGATAGCCCGGGGTTTTTATAGCAGGAACCAGGCTTTATTAGTTTGGCTGCTCCTGGAACAGCTGTGAAAGTGGGGACTTGCTTGGCTATGTCAAAACAAGCAGGATTCTAGCTGGAAGCTTGCTCAGCAGATTTGCTGGTTAGAATTTAGCTTTGGACCTTCCACTAGGGAGTTAGGTGAGGCAGAAATACCTTTGGGAACTTGGTGGACAGCACTGATATTTCTTTGACCAGCCGTCCCAGTTTCATCTGAACTTTCGTAAGAAAGATTAAACTTATCACCTCAAGACCGTTTTTCTGCAGTTAACTGCACTTCAAGTCCTGCTTTCCTGCACAGTTTACTCAATAGTTATTAAAAATTTGTAGACTGTCAATTTAACTTCAGTACTTGGATTTGCTACTTTTGTTAATTTTAAGCGACCAAACAGGGCTTTGTGCTTTAGACAGAGAGCTGTGTAGCAATAATAAAATGTGTCATGTTCTTACCATCAGATTTGGTAATCCATTCAAAATGAGAAGGAAGGTTCTTTGTTGTCACTTCTCCTAAGCGCAGTTACGGCTTTTAAACAAATCCAAATAGTTGAGGAAAATCCTTGGCTGAGCATTTTTTAACCTTTCTGGTTCATACCATTTCTTACATAGCTTAAAATACACAGCTGGCAAACAATATGCTGGATTTATTCTTCTGAAACAGTGTTTTAACACAGCTTCTAATAATGCTTGGCTGTCCCAGTGTTCTTTTTATTAATCAAGAGGCTTTATAACCTGTGTTCCTGTTTCATGAATGGGGCAGCTGAAGCACAGGTAGGGATGTGATGTGCTTGCGATTGCCCAGTTAGTCCTGTGGCAGTGGGGAACAGATGTTTCTAGTTTCAGTTTATGCTGTCTGGAGCTGCCGTGCTGCAGGCTGGCGTTACCTACCATGACTGAGAAGAACCACCATGTGTTCATTTAATTCCAAAAGGTTTCTAGGATTGACAAAGACTAACAGATGTGTTGCTGCCTGTGCTTGCCTGTCTTTGTTGAACGCAGGTTTTTGCGTTGTCTACACATCCATATGGCTGTCGCGTGATCCAGAGGATCCTCGAGCACTGTCTTCCTGAGCAGACCCTTCCCATCTTGGAGGAACTTCACCAACACACCGAGCAGCTTGTTCAGGTCAGTGTGGGGAGGGAAAATGTAGATGCTGTGAGATGTTTCTTGGTTACTGCTTTGTATTAGGAAAGCCCCAGGCAGCCTGTTTGGGACTGCAGCTGTAGTGCTGCTGGCATCATCTGAACGCAGGGGCTCTGTTCCTCAGGAGGAATGGGAGGACAAGAAGTGCATCACCACTAATTGTTTTGGCGATGTGCAAATATCCAGCAGGTATCAAAGTTGTAGTTACTTTCCTTTTTGAGAGTATCTTAAGTATTGAGTGAATGTGTGTTTTAATGCTTCACTCCAGAAGTTACAACGCAAGTAAGATCTTAAGGGAGCTGATGTGAAAAGCTGATTACTTCTAGGAAAAGGAAATGCCAAGTAATTGGGGTTCTTAAAATGTATTGATTTTATGCACGCCCCCTTCCTGGCTGCCTTTCCTCTTCCTTGCAGTCTTTCTGAGAACTTCTATTTCTAGGATTCTGGTGTTGAGGCATGATGGATGGAACAGCAAATGAACCCCATCCTGCATGCTCATGTATTTAGCACATGGAAAGTGGGAAGGGGTTGGGCATGGAGGTGAGGCATTGGGTTATGCCTCTGGTATTGTGAATGGGATAAATATGTATCTTGTTACCCAAATAGACACACATTCAGAATATGAACATGGGCAGTCACCTGTAGCTAGAACCATGGCGCAGCCCTCCAGGACATGTGGTTTGGTACGTTTGAACCTGGAGAAAGCAAAGAAACTTGAAATAAGCAGAGTATTGACATTTCATGTTTGAGGAAATTGTTTGAGTTTTATAACTGGTACAAAGATGTAGTATTTTACTTCCTGGGAAAACTCTAGAATTTACATTTTTGTAGAAGTAGAAGGTATTTTCACGATTTGTATAGTAGATATTTTAATTAGTGTTTAGTTCAAGTTTTAAGTCTTAATGCACATTGGGAACTAGTTTGATATTAATGGTTCCTGTCCTGTCCACATTTTGTCACACACTTCTGCTGTCTCTCAAACAGGATCAGTATGGGAACTATGTTATCCAGCATGTACTAGAACATGGTCGGCCTGAGGATAAGAGCAAGATTGTAGCAGAAATTAGAGGCAACGTGCTCGTGTTGAGTCAACATAAATTTGCTAGGTATGAATTTGTTCCTTGAAGTCTCCACGCCCCGTGGGAGCATGGACACCTGCTAGAGTTGCAGAAGAGTTAGGGGTGGGGTGTAGGTAGGTGAAAGGAGGTGAAAATAAATTTTTGCTTAACAACAGAGTGCTATTTCTAACTGCTTGTAAACTGGGATGAGTGACTGGCAAGGTAAGTTTTACTTGTAATAAAGGAGGATGAAGATGTGGAAGGGTAGCTCTAATTCAAGTTCCTGAACTTGACCAAGAGTTATTGTCTGTGGTGGGGTTTTTTTGGTTTTGTGTTTTTTCAAGTGGTCACTATCCCTTGTATAATAGCATGCCAATAAGAGCATTTCACTGCCTGTGGGATGCTGTGTCAAGCCACAAGGGAGTTTGGGAAATCAACGTAGCAACAATTCTTTTTCATCCCACTTTTCACAGAAGAATCTGTGCTTTTTATATGCTAAGTCTTGCAGTTCTTTTTGAGACATGTGCATAATTATATCCTCTTAGGGAAGCTGCAGCAGTCCGAGGTTGTTAGTCCAGATGCTACAGTGCTACACATGGGTAGAAGTAAAATCCCAGTATCTTAGTGGATGTCAAGACAAAGTAATACTGCCCACATTTGTAAACTCCTTTTGTGTGTGTTTCTAGCCATTTGAACTTGAAGGCTGAGCTCTTCAAAGGCTTAATATTCTCACCTTTTTGTGATTATTAAAATAGTGCTTTAATACTTACGGACACAAGGGAAGTGTAACATTAACAAGAATTAGAAGAGTGGTCTTAATGTTGTTATTTCAGATTCTTCCTCCCTGACTTGCCTTGCTCCTTTTTTTTTTTTTTTTTTTTCTAAACTTCTTTCCAGATGGAGCGTTAATTAGTGTAGGATGTCCCCTGAGCTGAGCACTAGTTGTGGCAAACCACTTGGTGATTTTATGATTCAGTCAGGGATGCAGAAGATAAGACTAGCAAAACTCTCTGTCCCCTTTCATATATCCTATTTAACTTGGCTCTCTGGAGAGCAGAGAGTAGTCATCTAATACATTCAGGAATTTTGGAAGTTCTTTGCCTGTGCTAAGATCTTTCGTTCCTGAATAAGCATTTTCCTGTTGTTTTAACCTTGGCCCTCTGTTCCTGTTGAGGTCCAGTACTGAGAAAACCAAACAAGCAACTCATCTGCTTCTCTAATGGGCACACTATGAAAAAGATGCTGATCTCAAATACAGCATCATTGCAGAGTTGCGCAAACTTTGGGTGAAATAGAACCCGAACCCAAATTCCCGCTCAGATCCCAAGTTCCTTGGACTGCTCTTCTGTTTCACGTTGCTGAACTTCTGTACCAGCACATATGTCTCTCCCAAATGGTCTGCCCTTGCTAGAAGCATGAGAGATCTCCTTGGGGTTGAATGAAGAGCCCAGCAGAGATGTTGTGTGCTCACAGGTTGTCTTTCTTCTATTGTTACAGCAATGTGGTGGAGAAATGCGTTACTCACGCCTCCCGTACGGAGCGTGCCATGTTGATCGATGAGGTGTGCACTATGAATGATGGCCCTCACAGTGCCTTATACACCATGATGAAAGATCAGTACGCCAACTATGTGGTACAGAAGATGATCGATGTGGCAGAACCTGCTCAGCGGAAGATTGTCATGCACAAGGTAAGCAGCTGCCGTCGATTGATAAGGATGTAAGGCTTGTCACTGGTTGCGGAGGGAAAATAAAGCTGGGATGATTGCTTTTGCCATTAGAATTTCCCAATGACTGAGGGATTTCAAAGTTGCATATTTCAGTAGTAGCTGAAATACGTAAATGTGAACTAACGAGATGCCATTTGGACTTAAAACTAGCTGGTTGCTTCTAGCAATCTCTTCTGACCTAGTAACCTAGTTCTGCACTCATGGCGTAGCAAATGCTGCTAAAAACTGCCAAGACTGACTGCAGCAGCACCATGGGGCTGGTGCCTTGCGAGGGACCCTCCGAAGGTCTGGCGATGACGACACACTTGCCCTCACTGAGAACTGCGTTCGCTGATGAGAGCAGTTTTATGCGCTCAATGGAGCCGAGCCAGACCTCGACAAGGCCTGAAGCCCCAGCATGGACCTGCTGGTCGCATTGCTGAGGGCTGGCAGTGCTGCCTTGTCACTTCGCATCCCTGCTTCACAGCCCTGATCAGGACGGTCGGGTTGGCTGGGAGCACGGCTAACGGGGCGTCTTGCTGCAGTGGCCAAGCCTGGAGCCATTAACCACATTCTCTGTTTCTCAGTTTTGAATACAGTTTTGATGAGAGGCTTCCCCAGTTTAGCATTAGTGTTTGAATGCAGAACAGTTTCAGGACTTGATATTTGTCAAAAATGAAGACATTTTGGAATCAAATACGTATTGCTGCTAGTCAGACCCCCGAAGGCTATGTCCCTGCTGCCCCAAGGGCAGGAAGCTCTGAAAAGCAGGTGATGTCTTCATTTTCCTGCTTTTAAAGGTCACATTTGCAGGCCTTTATAATTGTAACGAATGGGGAGAAAAATGCTTCTAAATGTATAGCAAAACTGGAGTATTTTCTTTGGTCACATGTTTTATGGTCTGTTACTTTGTGAAAAATAGCAGTTACAGCTAGACCTCTCATTAGGAATAAAATGCTGACTAACCGGCTTGGAAAGCCCTGTACTTACTTATTTTTAAGAGGAACTGTGAGGAGTGTCAGGTATTCAAATCCCAGTGAAATCAAGTGTATTTAAGAATCCTTGAGTAAAATGGACCGAGTGATTTTTCTGTAAAAAGAGGCAGGTATTATCTGTGTAAGGGAGCTTTTTACCTACATGAGGCAGTTGATCAGTATATAAACAACACATATGCAACTGAAATAATCTTCAGGGAGGTTAATTCTTAGGTTTAGGAATCACTCAGAGTAGTTCTTTTAAACCCAAATCTGTATTAGTTCAAAAGAAATTATAAAGATAATTAAATAAATATGTATGGCAAGGGATATATGCAGTTTAACTGTAGCAGAATGACCTGTGGCTTTGCTAATCTATATATAGATATATATTAAAAAAAACAAATACATGAATTATCTTTACTGACATGTTCTTTTTCCTGTCAAGAAAAGTCTTTTGAATAAAATGCTAATTAGGTTATCAGTGTGATTGTCAAAAATAGAACTGGGATGACAGCTAAATAGGACCGGCTGAATATGAAGATTTCAGCTGCGTTACCAAGTTGAATGAAAGCTTGGGAAAATGGAGCGTATCAACTGCTGCTTTTGGATTGCAACAATTGCTGGTAGTACAAACAAGCAGTTTGTGTCATTGTTAAAGATGGCGCTTGCATTTAAAAAAAAAAACATTGAAAAGTAATTTTAACAGTTCTGTCAGTGGTGGGCGGGGGAGAGGGGTAGTCTTAGAAATGAAGACCAACAAAGAACGAACTGTTGGACCTGGGGAGCTTTCCTTCTCCTCAGCCTCAGAGCAGCAGTCAGACCTTCTTGGAAATGGGATGTGGGGAGGGCCAACGCACCAATTTATGGTTATTGCAAGATGGGTTAGAGGCTGAGCTGATGAACTAGGCTGAGTGTGGGGTGGGTTTCCCATGGGAGGCTTACAGCAGCCCTGGCTAGGGCAGTGATGGTGCTGTACCTGCCTGTGGAACAGGCGGTGCTGCACACCGCGGTCTGGCTGTTTTCTCACCCTGACTGCAGGGTACAAAGTCCATCGTAACTGTGTTAGTGAAGGAACGTGCTGGTGGGGCGGAGTAGTTCTCAGCTAGTCATGAAAATGAATTGCTCTTCTGTTCGTTCTCTGAAACTGTCTGGGAGAGCTTCAGCAGCAAAACCATGTTACTACAACAAAAACCGCTTTCCTTGTTCGGGTGCTCCGACTGTGAAGGTGGTTTTGCGCTGGCTACAGTCGTTTCAGTGGCACTGAAAGTGACTTTTACTGCAAAGTAGTGTGAGCAGGTGAAGTCTGCTTCCACAGACCCCTCCTCTGCTTAAAATAAGTATTTTAATTGTCCAGTTCACAAATTAAACTGTTCAGCCTGGGAACACACTGTATACCTCTCCCAGTAGCCCTTTCAAACAGACTGCTGAAATTCATACCAGCAACTTCCAGGCTTTTAGCAGTTTTCTGAAGTTCAGGCTGTAGCCTGGAAGGGGGCAGAAGCCCCTGCTCGTGTCCAGCAAAAGCTGCTCAGCGCTGCTAGACCCTTTGGACACCTTTCCTGCCTTGGGCTGTGTGCCCCTGGGCTGGGGGCAGGGTGTCAGGGCACCCTTGGGAAGCTCGAGCACCCAGGGGTTGTGTCTTTCTTGGAAGAAAGACAATTCATCCAGACGCTCAGATCCAACTGGATTCCAGTAATAAGGCTCAAGATGATGCCACCTGCTTGACCAGCAGTTCTTCCTAAAAATAACACCAGTGAGTTACAGAACGTTAACTTGATTCGCAGGACTTGAGGTGATTACAGCAATTGACGCTTTAATATTTCAGGCATTTTTGTGGTCTTCTGTCCCTCTGCTGGTGGGGGGCACTTCTGACCGTGCGGTACCCGGAGCTGGCTCCGGATTGACGTGGGCGTCATTCGGGTTCCTAAGCTTCACTCGCTCTTCTTTTGTCCCCTAGATCCGGCCTCACATCGCGACCCTGCGTAAATACACCTATGGCAAACACATTTTGGCCAAGCTGGAGAAGTACTACATGAAGAACGGGGTGGACCTCGGGCCCATTTGTGGACCCCCAAATGGCATCATTTGAGGCGGCGGCCTGGGGGAGGAGAGCTCAGTGGCCATCCGGCATCTACAACCAGCAACCGACAATATTCCAGTATACAGTTAGAACGTGTTTTATGGTTGCTAAAAAAAGAGAAAAAGAAAAAGCCTTTGTAAATTTCTTTAATTTTATTATGCATAACATGTACTAATTATTTTTTTTAATTAACTAATTGCCCTGCTGTTTTACTGGTGTATAGAATACTTGTACATAGGTATCAAATGTACATGGAAGGCCACATTTTTGTTCACTGTTGTATCTATATTCCAAATGTGGAAACTTTCAGGGTGGTTGGTTTGAAGAAAACAAACAAAAAAACCCGTTTTTAATTCATCTGCCTTGCAGGCAACTTTTTTGCAAATACCTGGGTTTTTTTCTCCTTTTAGTCAAAAGTCAGCAAGAAGTTTGAATTTTAGTTAAATGGCACAATAGCTGCATTTAACGCTGTTTATAAATAAATAAAAAATTCAACTTGCTAAAGCTTCAGTTCAAAAAAAAAATTAAGTTTTTGAAACTTTTTAATTGCTTTTTTTAATTTTTTTTTTTTTTGAGTAGAACATGCTAAAGGAGGTAGCTTAGCTGGCGTTTTTTTGGGGAAGAAAACGTGCACACCCAGAAAGTTTTTAAAGCGCGAGGGGGTGGGGGGCGGGTGTACCTGTTTACTGCCTACTCGGTTTGTTCTGTTAACATTGAGAGACACAATTTGATTATTTAGCATGAGGAAAAAAAAAAATCCAACTCAGCTTTGGTCTTGCTTCTATAAATATATAGTGTATACTTGGTGTAGACTTTACATATATAAAAATTTGTAGTATTTTCTTGTTTTGATGTCTGATCTGTATCTATAATGTACCCTAGTAGTGGAACATACTTCTGACTGTACAATTGTACATTTGTAAACCTCTGTAATGTAAATGTGGAGAAGTTTGAATCGACATAAACCCGTTTTTTGGTAAGAAAAAAAAAAAAAGAATTAGCAAAACCTGTGCATTTCAGTGTATATTCACACCTTTTATGGTCGTAGCATATAGTGTTGTATATTGTAAATTGTAATTTCAACCAGAAGTAAATTTTTTCTTTTGAAGGAAATGTTCTCTTTATACAGCCTAGTTAATGTTTAAAAAGAAAAAAAAATAAATGCTTGGTTTTATTTGTCACCTAGTTGAAGAGTAGCGATCCTTTCTAAATGTTATACAGAAAATGATTCAGTTCAAAATAGTGTTTTTTTGACTCTTAAAAAGTAATGTTTTGCTTATTTTGTGACAGTAAGAAACAAAAAGTGCAAAAGTACAGACTCCCCTCGTTTTCCTTACAATCAGAGTCCCTTTCCACCTTGTAAAGTGTGAATCACCTTCCCTTTTTGTACAGAAGATGAACTGTATTTTGCATTTTGTCTACTTGTAAGTGAATGTAACATACTGTCAATTTTCCTCGTTTGAATATAGACTTGTAACACTACACGGTGTACATTTACAGAGCCTTGTGTATATTTCCAATGAACTTTTTTGCAAGCACACTTGTAACCATATGTGTATAATTAACAAACCTGTGTATGCTTATGCCTGGGCGACTATTTTTTGTAACTCTTGTGTAGATTGTCTCTAAACAACGTGTGATCTTTATTTTGAAAAATACAGAACTTTGGAATCTGGCTTTGTGTTTGCTTGGAACACCTTCAGTAGAGGCCACCCCACAACTTTTTGCCTTTTTTTTTTTC